TTTTCGGAGTTCTCGGTAGAAGGCTGAGTTGAGGATGTCCAACACTTTGCTGTCGTACTCTGTCTTGTCCATGATGACGGTGGCGTTGCCCTTATCTGCACGGAGGATGTGGATGGTCTTGTCCTGACGCATTGAATTGATGGCTGCCTGTTCCTGCTTTGAGATGTTGGGTTTGGCTGGCTTGTGTTTCCGAAGGGCTTGATGGACCTGCAGGCGGATCTCATCATATGCGGACTTGTCAAGGTGGCGGAGGATCGGTTCGGTGTGCTGGATGATGTCTTCAGTGGGTGACGATTGGGGAACTAGGGCAAAGTTCATGCCTCGTGACAGAACTTTGGTCTCGTCTGCGGAGAGGGCGCGCTGACTCATGTTGACCACGGTGTGACTGGTGAAGGACTCCTTGGAGCGGAGATGGGCTTCGTTTGGTACCGGTTGATCCATGGTGTAACCGCAATCGTTTTTACTCATATAGTTCTTTCACCATGTAAGTCTTATCAAGCTACCTAAATGGACCCGCTGGGCGTGGCCGTTCTTCCCAAGCTTCAAATCATCGTGCTGGCGCTCTAGGCTACGGCTCCATTGCCCGGAACTGTACCTGCACGGGTATGACATCTATGTGTCGTGGAGCCAAGTAGCACTGCGTCGCCCTCGGGACCAGCGGTCAGTCAAGTTCCCCTAGTTGGACGTGGACCGCACCTCGCAGTAGTCCTCGCCCACAGTCAATAGAGCAACCCAGTCTTCTGTGGTTTCCTATGTTCACCGGGCAACTTCATTGTATGTATATCGGCCGATACTTCATTTATTATAATTGTATAAATTTGTACTATATTTATTTATTTGTTGTCCAAGACATGATGGATGGAGCAGGGCAAAAAGCCTTCAAAGTATTTTCTTAATTAATCTGGAGAAACACACTTTTGTTAACAAATCTATTTGTCGTATTGTTAAAGAGGACAACTGTACTTTGACTCGAAGTGAGGATGTCCTTGTAGAAGCGAGAAAGTTTTTATAAGAAGCTTTATTCTTTTCGTGAAATCAATGTCGAGGTTGACTTAATGCCGATTTTTGTTGAGGAAGGGAGTGTTACGTGTGGAAAAATCAACTAAAAAAGCCCAATCCGTCGCACACGGCAGCAAAATAATTTTAAGAGGAAAGAACCAACAAATAAACAGGACCTTTTCAACAACCAGTAATTATCAAGGAAATGAAGCGTGACTTGCATTAGAAGAACTGAAAGTGCATTAATTTTAATAATGAATCAATATCAATCAACATGGGGAGATTAAAACACCCTCCATTTTAACCTGACGCAAACTGAGAAGCACTGCCTGTTTACTATTGAGAGCTTCCACTGCCTCAAGCTTTCCTTCACACACTGTATTATGCAAATCAAATTTCGCGCTCGGGTTTACGCTACGCTTTACAAGTTTCTTTTGTTTTCCAAGCAGGAAAAGAAATAGTCTTAGAACGAATTTGTAAAAGAAGCATTTCAAAAGAAAAGCTGATCATTAATTATGAACTGAATATTTCTGGGTGAACATTTTTAAGGTCATCAGGTTGGTAAGGAAAAGCTGCATAATCTTCACCACTTCCCGTATAGTACTTTTAACTAGTCCCGCATAAGCGGGGTCAGAAAGCAAAGAATTGTTGGATTTCCAATAACCATTACCTCGTTCCATATTTAAAATCGAGATGGACATCAATTAAGGAATGATCTGACCTATAACCAGGCTTAATATCGCAGCTAATCAACTTGGAATTATATTCTGCTGAAATTAAAAGAAGTCTAATCTAGAGTGCTTAAGAGAGTCATGCTGTTTCCATGTTATATCTACGGAGGTCCGGATTATGAATTCTCCACACATCAACCAAATCCAAACCATGACAAAATTCACTCTGTTTCTAGACACGAGGTTGTTAATGTGCAGATAGTTCAAACAGTCTAAATTTACATCTAAAATCAAATTCCAGTCCCCACATAAAATCATATGCGTGTTATCCAAATCACTTTTAAAATCTGAAACATGATCATAAAAAGCAGGCTCATCATTGTTAGGCCCATACAAATTAATGAGTGTTATACAAGAATCAGTAATCTCAATATCAAGGGCCAATAAATTACCGTTGTCATCTGTCTTCGATTTATGAACTTTATACTCAAAGTTATTGTTAAACAAAATTGCCACTCCTCTGGAGTTACTTGCTTACGAACTGAAAAAAAAAACCAGTTGAGACCACATTCACTTCTGACACGGGCCTCCATCATCTTGTAGACAACAGATATAGGAATTCTTATTTTTCAATGCGTAATATATGCTCTTTTAGCCTTAAATTTCGGAGCTCTCAGCCAATTTACCAAGGAGTTATTTACAGTTCATAGCCCTCTAACTGAACATTAAAAGGTCTCAAATAAGTTTGTTCTGGTTTCTGCTGTAACCGTAGTCGTAGGAGACGTTAGCCAATGTTTCCCTAGCGGAGTCAACCACGAATAATAAAGAAAAACGGCCAAAGATCAGGGCTTTAGATTCCGCACTCCTTTAATACACGGCGGTAAACTGCAAGGAAAAATGCAGGGAACAAACCACTTTTAAAATACGAACAACGAACAAGGGTATACATGTGGAGTAAGATAATAAAACACATGAGAAAATACATGTGGGCTACATGGAGAAAATCGAACTTGCATCAAAAGCTAAATATGAATAACAGGTTTCTACTCACACAAGTGACCAGAAAGAGCAAGAAAAATGATAATAAATGGTATCTATGAATGGCACCCTCAAGAGGTGAGAAGAAATACCAAAACACTCCCCGCCTAAAAATTGCCAAGGAAATTTTTAAGCTTTAACCGAAGAGTTCAGTGAGTTGCTAGTCAAGTCACTGAGTCGCCTTCTCCAAGATGATGAGCTCAGACGTGGGTCTAATAGGTTCGCCGCGAGCCACCGGAACAGACTAAGATGTCCGCCTTGCAGACTTTGCCATCGTCGCTGGGGTGAGTCTTGATCACTCGTGCAAGAGGCCACTGGTTCCTGGGAGCTTCTTTCTGTCTGAGCAGCACGACATCTCCTGCGCAGATAATGGGCGTGCTCTGGGTCCACTTCTGACGAGGTTGGAGGCTTTGTAGATACTCGCTACGCCACCTTGACTAGAACTGGTCGGCGAGATACTGGGCACGTCTCCAGCGTTGTCTGCCATAAAGATCTTGTTTGAAGAACTGGTCTGGGGGCGCTTCCAAGGGTTGCGTCTTCAGAGTCAGAAGCATTGCTGGCATAAGTGCCCGGGCGTCGTTTGGGTCTTATGAAAGGGTCGTGATGGGTCTGGAATTGACTATAACCGCAGCTTCTGCCAGGAAGGTGGTAAAAACTTCATGAGTTGGTGTTTTCCTAGTTGAAAGAACAAAGAGTCCAGGATGCATCGAATTGTCCGGATCTGCCGTTCCCAGATTCCTCCAAAGTGGGAAGCCTTGGGTAGATTGAAAATCCACTAACAGTTCTTCGTAGTCAAGTACTGCGTTATCTCTTCATGGTTCAGCTTGCCCTCAGCGCCAATGAAGTTTGTTCCTCGGTCGCATCTAAGGCGGGCAACTGGACCTCGGTTTCCTACGAATCTTCTCAGTGACGAGATGAAGGCGGAGGTATACACAGCTTCAATGACCTCGATGTTTACTGCTCTAGTGCATAGGCAGGTAAAGAGGACGTCCCATCTCTTGGCCTCGGCTAGGCCACCTTGTGTTTTCCTTGCTGTGACCGTCCATGGGCCGAAAACATCCATCCCAACGTCCGTAAACGGCGGTGTTGTTTGGAGCCTGTCAACAGGTAGGTCAGCCATTATCTGTGAGAGTTGTTTGCCTCGAAGCCTGCGGCAGGTGATGCCTTGGTTTATGATGCTTCGGACGCTGCCGTGAGCTCCGATGACTCATTGGCCTCCGTTTCGGACTGCTGCGAGAGTCATATGACGTCCGAAGTGTTTGGTCTCACGGTGGATGTGCTCAATGATGAGCCTGAACACATAACTATTTTTAGGGAGGAGGAGAGGGTGACGTCCTCCGAGGTCTAAGTCTGCTCGCCTGAGCCTGCCGGCAACTCGGATGAGTCCATCTTGATCCAAGAAATGGTTAAGCTGGTGCATGGGGCTTGTTTTCTTTATGTGGATCTGACGTTTGGAAGTGGATGCAGACTTTAGACATGCATTCTCTTCGATGAAATGGGACACTTGAACAGCGCGGAAGATGACTCTTTCGGCCTGCTGTAGGTCGTCTAGGGTGGCCTTGGTGTGCAGTTGCAAGCTCTGACTTCGAGGTTGGTTGGAGAGATCGTCTTTACCATGCTGGCCTTTGTAGGTCCCTGCCCTTGCCACCAGAGTCGCCATGGCCCTTTTGAGGGAAAACCAAGTCGAAAAGCGTGAAACCTCTCACATGTCAGGCTTTGTGGATTGGCAGTGATGGATTTATGCAGTCGGTCGTCAGGGATACTTGTGGCAAAGACACTGGCTTGCTTCTTGATTTCAGGGTCGTCTTCGCTGAGCTGGGACCTTTCCTTGGGAAAGATTTCAATCACTTCTTTCGGGGTCGGGTCCATTCGCCAGAGAAACTCAGGTCCTTGAAACCAACGAGTGCTGCTTAGGCAGTTGGCAGGGACAGATCTTGACGCGATATCAGCAGGATTTTCGTCTGCCCCAATGTGGCGCCACTGGCTGGGTTGGGAAACCTTGTGTATGCTCTGGACCCTGTTAGCGACGTACACATGAAAGCGTTTGTGGACTCGTTTCCAATGTACCCAAGTACGACCTTGCTGTCTGTGTAGTACTTTGTGTCGTCAAAGGCTACTCTCTTGTTCAGTTCAGTGGTCACCGTCTGCACAGTCCCAAGTACTGATGCACAGAGTTCCAGTCGTGGCACAAACACGGCGTGGGAGGGGTGACCTTTGTCTTGGCCATCAGGAAGGAGACATGGGGCTTGCCGTCTTCGTTGACAAGGCGTTAGTAGGCGACGGCGCCGATAGCACGTTGGCTGGCATCGGAAAAGACATGGAGCTCCCTCATCTTGACTTGCCCAAAGTCTGGTGATTGGTAGCACCGTGGTATCTGGATGCTGTCCAAGAGATGAAGAGAGTTTCGCCAGCTTAGCCACATAGGTAGGTACTCTTCAGGAAGGGGCTTGTCCCATGTGTCCCGTGAGGTGTTGTTTTCTCCTTTGATTGCTGCGTTGATCTCGCAGAGTATGATCTTGCCCTTGATGGTGACGGGAGCTATGAAGCCCAGGGGATCAACAATAGAGCTGGCTATGGACAAGACTCCCCGCCGTAACAATGGCCTCTCGTGTAGGTTAACTTTGACAGTGAAATGGTCTGCTTCTAGGGACCAGGACACTCTGAGGGATCTCTGGGTAGGCAATTCCTCGTTGCTAAGGTCAAAGTTTTGGAGATCCTTGGCCGTGGCTTCTTCTGGCAGGGTGTTCATCATTCCTCTGTCATTGGAGGCTATCTTGTGGAAACGGAGGTTCTTTGTGGATAGAGCCTGTCTGGTGCATCAAATGAGGCTCAGCGCTGTACTGCTCTCTGGTACAGAAGTCAGGCCGTCGTCAAAATAGAAATCGTGGTGGATTAACTCTCTGACGTCTTCACCCTGGCTCGGGGCAGACTCATCAGCGATCATCCGAAGGCCGAAGGTGGCTACTGCCGGGAATGACACTTTACCCAAAAGGTGTACGTTCATTCGGTACCCGGTGATTGGCTTCTCCGGGTTGTTACCCTCAAACCACAAGAAGCGCAGGGAACAAACTTTAAAATACTTCAAAAATACGAACAACGACCAAGGGTAAACATGTGGAGTAAGATTATAAAATACATGAGAAAATACATGTAGGCTACATGGAGAAAATCTAACTTGCATCAAAAGCTAAATATGAATAACAGGTTTCTAATCAGAATTTTTCTCACATAAGTGACCAGAAAGAGCAAGAAAAAATGATAATAAAAATATAAGCAAACCATAAAATCACAAGTCAGAAGAAGTCCTACATGGACAAAAGTGTATAGAGTCTAAATCTGGGTATTAAAATAACATCAAAAGGCAAGTTCAAATGATCAGAAAATTACTTTAAATTTACTCACTTGACTGTGGTTCAGGTAATGGAAAATCTCGAACAGAGGGAGTAATGATGGCTTACACAGGGAGCAAAGAGTGTAGCAATGGGCTTTGAGAACAAAGGATTGGTGATCTTTAAAACTGCCCAAAACTAAACATGGTCTGCAAGTGTCGAAAATAGAGGGAGCATGATCCTACTATCCTTCGTCTTCTGGTCTCTGTGAATGGCGCCCTCAAGAGGCGAGAAGAAATACCAAAACAAAGTTAATGCCTCCCCATACAAAGTGTTACTTCTTGAATCCTTTGAATATAAAGTGTCCAAGATAATCATGAATAATTTGAATAGTACAAAACAAGATTTGCATGACTGCCATTTTGGCAGTCCAGTTCTTTTCTTCCTCTGAATGGACTTCTGTTTTCAGGACGCATGTTGTGATTTTTTGAGCGCCCTAATTTCATCGCACTCATTAGAAGAATACGCTTTCATGAGCAAATGTTATGCACATTATGTTTATAAGTATGAATTATTCACATTGATTTCAGGAGCAAGTAACCACAGTGTTTGCGCTTTTTTGACCTGTAGGCTTTCACAAAATTTTCGAGAGGGATTTGCCAATTTCTAGCAGCCGTTAGAGTGTTGGGGACGTGCAAATACAAATAAGTCCAACGATGCCTGTGCTATTCTTCCTAAACGGAAATTTCCTCTAGGACCGACCCCTCTTCCACCACTCTGTCCTGCCCCTCCGTCTGTATGTCGCCCTCTGGCTCCTCCTCTACGTGAGAAGGAAACAGCCATGCAAGAAACATGCAGGCAAAAGACAGGAACCCAATTCCCAGGGCGCCACCGTTATATGAGTAGCGATACCAGACATTGTCGTAGAGAGTGCATGCTCCCGGGCCATTACACGTCTGTTTCCACATCAAACAGGCCGAATCGATGATGGCGCCAAACAGGTAACCAGCTGGGAGAGTCACTGATGAAGAAACAATGGGAAAGTAGCTTACAAAAACAAGCTTCTAGTGGAGAGACAGAGCTCAGGACCCTAGCCACTACATTTTAATATAATAACTGTGCCCTTCAACCTTCAAGAACGAAACTAGGTCAAAGTTTGTAAGAGCTGCTGATTTCTCGGTATGTGGAGGTGAATACTGCTTTTCTTTCTCCAGATGTCCAGTTGGCGAAATGGTACAAGCAAAATTTTTGTTTTCGATTCCCATCAACTGTTGAATAAACTTCTGTCTCGCAGCCCATAACTGTTCGTATGGGCGGGCGAATTTCGCAGAAATATTTTCCTCGTTAATTGGTAACAGGCTTTACCTCAAAATGCATATTGCATTGCCCAATTAGTTTTAAAAATAGTAATATGTATTGTTTGGTGTTTTTATAGCTGAGTAAGAAGTTTTAAAAGCCTTCATGAATAATATTGTTCTTTTGCTTTGGACGACAGTTGGCCGTATAGAAAACACCGAGAAAACAAATGAACAAAATGGCATAGGCCTATAAAAGTAAGGTATTAGTTTACCAATGAGGCCCGTCAAATGAAGAATCCCTAAAGCTACAGGCCTGTCTTCTGATGTGACGCATCTAAAAAGAAAACAGTAAAAATAACAAAACCAACCTCTTTAGTCGAGTCTAATCCTTTGTCGACACAGGGCTACCACTTCTATGCAGATGGATATAGACATGAATGCAAAGCAGGTTTTGCTACCCAAATAGCGCACTCTTGAAAAATGTTTCCGTAAACCAGCCTCTGGAGAGGATCACGTTGGTTTGGCTATGCGAGAAGGCTTTGTCTTGACGCCAAGGCAGTGCGGTCGGGTGGGAGAGTGTAAGTTTCTATACTGCAAGCGGAATACTGAACGACACGTAACACTCAGACGGTTACATTCCTTAGAGTTGTAATGACTCCAGTAGATAACCAAACTCGATCCCGACTCGAGTCACAATTTTTGGCGAATCGACTCGACTCCTGAAGGGCAAATGACTTGACCGTAGCGTCACTGCGAGTAAAGGAGTCAAATCGAATCGTGTCTCTCATTAGATGATTTGACTCGAGTGAAAGTTAATAAAACTCGAGTGCAAAAAATAAATTTTTAACAAACTTCTTGCAAAAACAATTTGCATTGTCACACCTCTGTCTTAGATACTGTCCGTTTATTGGCCATGAACGATCACATGACAGGGCGATACTATACAAACACAGCATGGTTTGAGGGGTTCGCGGAGGGAGGTAGTCAAACTGACCTAAACCGAGGGACCAGTTATTCCCACTATTTTCCCAAAATAAACCATATTGTATTTGTTTTACTACACTTCATAAATATTCCAACAGAAATCTCACGTTATTTGTACTCACAGACACCATTGTTGTTTCTCAGCTGCTAAATTTCCATGTTATGATAGTGGAGTGCAGATGTGCAGGGCTTCAATAGTCCGGTGCTGACATACGTTTTTGGTTTTACTGTAATAGTTATTAGGATACAACTCCACACTGGTTCTGTAAAGATTACATAACACATACCACATATTTACGCAGCGGGTTCCAGAAGTTTTTTGATGCTATCAGAAAAAACTTCCGCACGGCAGCGAGGTGGATACTCACCGCTATGACGTCACCTGGTTGCGTATCATTTCTACTTCCCAGACGCTAGGTGGAATCGGCCATTGCAATGACGCGCTCCGATTTGCTCATTAATATTTTTGTGAGGTGTAGTACATTCGCATATTGCACTCACTGTGAGATACTTCTTTCTGCCGATAGTGCGTGCACGCGCACGCGCGCGAGACAGAAGAGCCTGGGCAAGTTCAAGAGCGAACATTTCGTCCCCTTTCGTCAGTTTTGCGTGGTACCATGATACGTTTTAATCGAATTCCCTGGTAGCCGATGTGCGTGTGCATAGGCTACTAGGGAATTCGATCGATGATCGCGCTTGTATAACAGACTCGTTCCCGTCCCCGCAGGGTATAAGGTAATGCAGAGACCGCTAACCAGACCATATGTACTCACTGGTACCCCCACTAGTTTCACGTAAAAGATTACACAATTAAAGAAGGTGAGGGAACTGTTCATTTGCAGACAATATCGTTGAAGTCTGTTTATAGCTTAATTGTACAGTTTGACAGTAGGCCTACCGTCTACTGAAATGCAGAGCTTGTTTCTTTAGATAAAGTCCTTACGACAGAGGTATGACAAAACAATTGTTGACCACTTTGGTGTGGGATATTACGTTTTGAACACACTCGGGCACACATAGCACCCTCGGCTTCGCCTCGGTGCGCTATATATGCGTCCCCTGGGTGTTCAAATTATTTCCAGTGCCGGTATATAATGTTCACGTCATGTGTTGTTATCGTCAAGAGTAAGAAGTAGTGTGACCAAATGTAGAAATCAATAGGTAATTTTGAAAATGCCTCAAAGTGGCTTTTCTCTTGTTTTTATTAATCGCATTGTGTTCAAATATTGATGACTTGAATTGACTTGAGCAAAATATTTTAGTCAACTCGACTCGAGTCACTACGTTACAATGACTCGACTCGACTCAGGTCACAGAAATAAGTGACTCGTTACGACTCTGATCCTTCTTTGCTTGATAGGTTTGGGGAAACCTGTATCTTCTTCCTGTATCTACTTCCCTTTCAAACGTTGGGCGAAACTAGGAAAACAAATGATGAATCTTTACGAGGTCTACACTATACTATCTGTCAAAAAGCCTCGTGGACTCTGCTCAAAGATAAACTCAGGTATAAAGGTAAGTTGAAACGTACCTAATGACGACATTCAGACGGAGAAGTTGAGCAAACTGGGCAAGCAGTAACACAATGGTCAACACCACCAGGTACAGTGCACCGGAAATGCAGTGGGTATCACAAGCGCCCTGTACGGTCAGGAGTGTTCCATTTCTGATCAATTCGTCAGTTACGTTACCTGTCTGTGTTGCTAAGCAGGAGCAGTCTTCATAGCCCTGAAAATATAACGAAGCCCATGTGCCTGTCAAGCACAACAACAGCACGGAAATACCTTTTCCCGTGTTCATTAAACTATTTGGGAATATCGACTTTTACATCGATTAACAACTGAAAGGAGTTGGTAGAGTTTTCACTAAATGTCATGAGTGTGCCTAAACGATTTCAAATTAGGGGGCTCATCATGAATTTGCCGACAGACCATCGGCAAAATTTCATGAATGTAATGGTGGTCCGATTCCCCAACTTGACATTTACGTGTTCCCTCTTCCTTTCCCCATGCTTGCCGACAGCACCATGATTTGGTCGGCAAAACTGACTAATATAGGGGATGTGACACCCCCACTTTCCCCCTTTTGAAATGTCTCAAAACTCTCGGATTGTAAAGTTCACAGTGCTCTGTGGTTCGTAGCCTCTGATAAGGTTTCATCGAAATTTTGTTTTTTCTTAAACATGTCTTTAATTTCCTTAACAACTTAATGTGTGCTAATTCTGCGTTGATGACACGTTGAGTTGGGGTTTTAATGAAGAGGTGTTAGTTGGAATTCGTGCTCCTATACTGTCGTCAGTATTGCCTCGCGTTACATTAAGCTCACGTACCTAAACTTCAATAAATTAACAGGTATAATGAAAATTTGAACTCAGTAAAAACTACCCAAACTGTAATAAGTTGTGTTTTGACAAATACGCCGACACGAGTATGTACTTTGTTCAACATTATTTTCTTCGTAAACGTCGATATAATATACATTTAACTGTCGTTAATGACTACACAAGAGTATATGTATACCCGATCAGTGACGAGACGGCATCCAGCATGGCAAGCTGAGAAATAGGTGGTTCCATTGCCATCGCATACAGGCGCGTACATAGATAATGAGCATGCGCAGTCTGCGTTGCAGGGAGATTCCAAATCAGCACGACTGAAAAAGAACAACCGTCTGGGTCATTTTCCCTCACAGATTTCAGGACACAGGCTAAAACAACTTGTTGGCTTACGGGAGTCTTTACATAGGTACTAGGTACTACATCAACAGAGACAGGGTGTGAAGTTGTACCAGCCCTTGTTACCATGTGTGGCCATCCATTCATTTTTACCATGTGTGAAGGTAGTTTTCTTCAGGGTGGTGATGAGCATAAAGCCCCCCCCCAAGTGACGAAATTAAAGCACCTGGGCTTTAAGTAATTTCTGTATACTTTTCATGATATTATTTCCCCTCAATCCATTTCCTCTCAATGAACGAACCTTTCATTCTGTGGCTATCCTTGGCAGTCAGACCAATACACAGGCAAACTATTCCGCACATTTGTCAAATTCTGTTTTTCTTGTGTAAGTCAGCAGTGCTCCCCCCTCCCAAAGCTGAGATGTCATTTAATTTAGTTAGCTGGACCACCTCGCATTTGCGGGGAAACCCTAGCGAAAACCACCAAGAGCTTACTCATTTTCAGATCAAAAATTACTCTATGTATTCTGTGTCATGAGTAAGTGCGGAAACAAGCGCGCATTCGCAACTTGTCGGCCTTTGTAGTCACCTCCGTTATGTAAGGACCTCCCAAATGGCAATGTCCAAACCAAAGCTGGGTCGATGGCGGCGTAGCAACAGCAGTGTAAATACACCTTTTCACTTATAAATTCATAACCTGTGTATAAAAACGTACTGATGTTCAATGTACATGTAGTGTACGCATTCGATTCGCTGCTTTCTGCACTTGGGAAATCCGAAGCACCAGATCCCTTTCTCTTTAGATCTGCACAAACACGACAACCGGCTACCATTACTTTCGGTATTACTCCAAGCTATGGCCAGGTTCAAGGGTAAGCTATTACCGTTTTGTACAGTATTGTACATTGAACATCCGTACGTGTTTACAAATGCACAGGTTGGCTCCAAGAACACTAATGATGTAATTTATACTACTTAGGATGGATTGGATTGAATGGGATTTTTCTGAAGAAAAAAATGAACCAAGCCAGAAAACTTGAGAGAATTAATGATCATCATAGTCGCTTACACCTCTTGCTGCCAAGTCCATTTGTGCGCATGTGTGCTTAATTACGAATTTATTAGTGACAACGTCTGTTACGTATAAACTCATAATTTAGTGTCGTGTTTGGCTTTTGGCATTTCTGCTCTTTTCGTTTTGGTGTGTTAAGGTCAACAAGAGGGAGTTATTGCCTATAAGGTTAGTCTTATATTGGATTTCCTACGGCGCAGAACTCGGCAGCTTTACATTTTTGACACGTGCGCGAGATAAATTTACAAGGCTTTATTGAACTTTTCCTAATGTATGATTTGTGTAAAAATTGCCAAAAATACACAACAAACAAAAATAACAACGAAGTATGGAGGCATACGTGTGCGGCAAATAAACGTCGTTGAGTTTTGAAAAGACTGTATCAAATGATACTTTCATTAGCATTTTGTTTCAGTCGCTTGTTGAAGCCGAAAGGATTTTTCTTTTATTGCATTAAACGTCCATCTTATTACACTAGACCGACGTTTTATAAACGAAAATTTTACAACTGTCTGCGGCTTGGACAGCCTGAATGTGTACTAGTTCTAGGAATGAGGAAAAAGCTCTTTAGTTAAGCCGTATCCAAATTACTTCGCTGTGGCTAGAAGTTACACACGAGTCTATGATGGTGGCAACAGCCAGTGTCTATAGTCGGTGGTAATTTCAAGCCGCAGCCAAGTAACTTGGACGCTGCCAAATATTCAATATAATGTAGCTTTGAGCTCCAGTCGTCCATCGCAAATACAACCTATCATGGCGAATTCACAACAAACCTTTGTTCCAAGTATGGCTTGAAAATGCCCGCAACACTATGATTCGGGCATCCAACGAACAAATTTGCGATGAAGCCGATGATGCAAATGGCGAGTGCAATGCACGAGAGGGAAACTAGACCTCGGTACTGAATGTTGAATCGTTTGACGAGTGATCCAGCCAGAATGTAGCCAACTGCGTATGCAGGAGCCAGAAGACAACCTGGATATGGAAGGAGGCAAAGTTTCAAAATGTCCAGCAACACGGGTTGGACTTAGGTATGGTCTTGGACCAAGACCACAATTATATACGAATATCTGTGTAGGCGTTAAAATCATGCAACTCCAGTCTCAGACCAAGACTAGGACTTTGCAAGAAACCAAAATGTAAATGAAACTGATATAGAAATATTTCTTCATTGTATTATGCTGTCTTAATTTGATTGTGGGTAAGCTTTCCTCCATACCTTATTTCCTTTCCTCCCACCTCTGTGGGCTCTATAAGAAAACCATTGTTTCTTGATGTTAACAAAATTCTATTCAGCACTTTTATTTTGTCATATCCCGTAAACTTGCTGGCGTATAAACCTTTCCGGATCTTGAGATTAACTTCGGAAAACGTTACGTAGATAGTAGGAAAAAAGGTCCAGCAATTTGTCTTACTTTACAACTGTCAGATTATACATTCTCCTAAACCTTGCAAGGTGAGCAAGCTAGGTGAACCTTATCACGACTCAATTAAATTCATCCCTGACAGAGAATACCCTCAGATGTTATACTTTTGACCGGGACATGACTAGACTTGGCCTCTCCATTTTGTACTTACACTACTTTCCTAGCCAACGCTGGAGTCATGGCCCAAAGGTGGCCCAGGGATGGCTACACCAGACTGAAACGGTTGGCCCAACCAAGGCTTGCCACAGCTGGCCCAATTTTAGCCAGCCTTGGGCCGAGTGCTGCCGGAACTGGGCCAGGTCAGTTATTGTTCACCCGGGCCAGATCTCTGCCAGATGTGGTATGTCAGTGGTGGCCCAGAGCTGGCAGCTGGTTGTCTAAGAGCTGGTTCATATCATTTCAGCTTGGCTAATATGCCACTATTTGATGAGTTCACATGTACATTTGTTACTTGTGATATCTATGACGAGCCAACAAAATTTCTCAGTATTTGGCCCGCTAACATTCCTTGCAGAACTCTATGTCCACCCAATTCAAACACTGCTTCAGCAGTCACTGAGTGCCTTAAAATAACTTAGTTTGCTCGGACATCGATCCTAAATCGTGAATGGAAGACAAATTGAGACCTAAAATAATGTTTACTCTGTGAAATGACAACATAAATGTGGTACAATTTTAGGTGGTCATTTCTACGTATTATGGTTATACATGTATAGCTCCATTTTGTAAAGGATAAGGAGGGATCCACCCCCTTCCATCTCTTTCTTACCGTCTACAATGCCTAGACTGGCCCAACCCTGACCAAAAGGTGACACCAGCTTCTATTTTATATGAAACGCTGTCAGCAGTGGGCCATCAATGGTCCAGGGCTGTCACAGCTGAGCCAACCCTTGCCGGATCATCCCAACTCTGGGCCAGGCCTGGGCCAACAGTTTGATGTTTGCTGGGCTATACTCAGGTTGAGGAGTCGAAATGCAACACCACTTCTTACCTGTCAGAAGATCGGCAAGCTGGGTTTCCATCTGAAACTGCACCTCCAAATACTTTGGAACGAAGAAACCATAGCCATAGATAACTAGAATCGCGCCTGCTTGGGACAGACATGCAAGGACGCAGTCACGGTTTTTTATAACTTTCCAAAACGTCTTAATACTGTCTGTTGGGAAAATGTAGCAATTGAAAGAAACTATAAGTATTAAAATATAACTTGTGATTGATTCAGCAGGAGAGCTATAATATTTAAAAAACCACTAGGTTCAGCCGTCATGTCGGTATGGGTCATTACAAAGCCTGACTGATTATTTTGAGACAACTCACCCAAATGGACAGAATTCAGCTGCTACTGAAATGAAAAAGGATTGCATTGTTTTTTGAGTGTTTGAGCCAATTGAGAGCCACTAAACTACCAAATCAGTGTATACAGATGGACCACACTACAATACTTGCATGACCGAGGCTGACAGAAAAAACTGTACAGGTCTAACAATTTTGTTACCTCTGACATTTTGTTACCTCTGACATTCACTGTCATCGGACCCTTTGTGACTTTTTCAGTTTCTTGGTCGTCATTGTTGTTACCACTGACAAGTGTTACGCCTTCGGCGTTTGTACGAGACCTTCTCAGTGCCTTCGGAAATCCAAGAAAAGGCACTGCGGGTAGACTATATAAGACTGCACAGAAGATGTACCCCAGCCACCAAGCCCCCACCCAGGCCCGGTCCCCTGGTGCCAGATCAATGGCGGAGGGGAGTCTGTAGAAGTCTACCCAAAGACCAAGGCATGCTGCTGCCACGAAGATGCCCACAACGGGTGAGAGACCACTCATGGCACCGAATATTCCTGTGGAGAAAACAATATACTCCAATGTCAGAGCACGAAGTACATACCTTCGTCAAAAATATAATTAAGTAACTTTACTGCAGCATAGGGACCATAACGGAGAAACAACTAGTTAGTTATTTGCTTCAGGCCCGTCTAAAGTTTAGTTGGGATAAAAAATATGTTTTTCCTGTTTCCCTAATCTACCCTATTTTGTTTCCGAGACAGTAGTTTTTGGGGGGCAAAATTACGAAAAAGTGTCATACTTGGAATAAAGAAGAGTTAGTTCGAATGTGGTGCAAACAAAATTCAATGGACTAATTCGTAAGCGCAAGTGCTGCGCCTAAAAGGCGCCTTTCCATAATTTTGTACATTTTTGGTGCGTTGGGTACACGATGCGATCATGTCTTTCACTTTCACGGACACAAACATCGACTCCATTAACAAAACACATGTGTGCGTTGCGTTCAGCCTTCAAAATCACCCGGGAGCGATTTTGACGGATACGCAACGCTTTGCGCAAGTCTTAGCGCACATATGGAAAGGCACCCTAAACATTTGCTTGAAACTAATAAGCATTGTGCAATTTAAAATTTGAATAAAATAAGGTACCCTGAGGGATCTGATTGCACATAAACATATCGACTTGAATTCTCCACATATGACGCTGATGTTATACCTTGTGATTCGGGGCAAGTATTGACATAGCGGCCATCATTTCTAGGACGGGATGGTTCCTTTGTGCCTTTCTTATACATTGAAAACAGTGTATTGGTTCAAGGCGTCTCTTATGTACCTAAGAAAAAGCTTGCCCCGAATCACGAGGTATAGCAACAGTGTCTTTGGTATGGAGAATTCACATTGTTGTGTTCACGTGAATTCAAGGAACCCATTGCAGGTTTTGTTCCAATTTAACTCGCAAAAAGCTTATTTAACTCGATACCTCTGCATGTTGTTTTAACCAGTTACTGCACACTGAATCGGTTTGCAAAATGTGAAAAGAGTCCCCAGATGCCATGTAAGAGGAAGTGAATTATTTTGCCTTTAGGGAAACTAGATTGTTAGCGTCATGGAATTGAAACATACCTGTGTAAAATGCGGTGGCTCTTCGGGATGCACAATCTGAGATGTATGTTTGGGCTAAAGGAATCTCGATCATTACGAATATGCCTTGAAACATCGCGGAAAACAGGAGTATGAAGTAAGCAACCCGATTCGGAGACAAACTCTCAACGGTTTTCTCATTAAGGCACGGTTCTGCCTCTAACGCTTCTGACAAACACACCAGCTGTAACTGTCGGAATTGATTTGTGGTGTCGTTGCTAGACTCAAATCCTTCAGGAATGTAAGGATCTTGAATGAACTGCGGGATGGTTTGGGTGAAAATTGCCAGGCTGCACATTAACGCACCGATCCCAAGGATACGGGGTCGATTGGTGTCCGGTCTGCTAGCGAATAAGATCAGCAAGCCAATTCCGATTATGCCGCCTACGCAGAAGGCTCCAAGAAGCATGCCTGCCTGACTAAGAGTTAACTGGTAGCGATGTTCAAGGGAGGTCAGTGTTCCCTGGATCACACCGACCGTGAAACTGTCGGCAAAGAAGAACACACTAGCAACAACTACGAAGATGCCTGGCCGGGCAAAGCGTTGAAGACACGGTGGGCTGATGGAGAAATAACTGCACGAAGGAGCATCATCTTTGTCAGTAGTATCCTTCTGTTCAGAATCCTCGGCAACCTCGGTCAAGTCTTTGTATTTGTTAGAGACCAGTGTTGACGCCATCTGTAAGAAACGTTGAAAATATAATGTGGAGATGTTTTCAGAGACAAAGGCTTTGAGGGATCTGTACATGAACATCGTGAGGGCGAGGGTGAGTGCTTCCAATCCTCTGAACAGAATTACGAAGAATGTTAAGAAGGGGGAAGGAAAAAGGAGAGAAACAGAGCAAGGAGACGAGGAAGAAAACTGGCCATTTCCACGCAAAAATGCCTTAGAATGCACCCATCCGATGTTGTAGGTGTTAGTCTGATTGAATGCTTAGTCCTCCACCATGGTGATAGCAATGTCCACTTCCTGGTAATATCCATAGTCCTAAATACCCCCTCACTTTGCACAAAATAAAACTGATGACACAAAATATCACAATCAATCCAATCCATATGAGGTTAACATAACCTAGCTATGCTCTCATGCACTGACAACGAGCTATCTACCAAGTAATTAGTGTCCATACAGCTCCTCAACCAAAGGGTCACATTCACAACTCCCACTCAATGCATGCTGGTCAAACACTAATCTGGATTTACCGATTCCTACACACCGCTACGACTCTGAAGACGCTGTCACAGCGACCATTAGCCTCTATAGCTTCCAATGCATCTAGCGGCTACTTGCCGTACCAGTTCTCAATAGATACAAGTTTCGGGAAAGGTAGCCACACGCATTTTCTTGGCTGGAGGCCCAACTTCTGCCATAGTGACGTCCTCTTCTTCTGGGTCTTGCGTAGCTTCTGTGCCAGTTGGTTTTACCAGTACCACACAGGGAATTTATGTCTCCTCTGGGTTATCTTCTGAGGAACTCTTCTGGACTATAACTCCCCCTTTATTTACAATACTTTTTGGACGATAAGTTCGGCCATCAGGAAGCTTCTCTTTTTCCCTTGATTCTTCAGTCGCTCTCTCATCCAGAACGTCAACATAGTCTGAGTCTCTAGCGGCTCCTGTACCAATGATACTTCAGCCATCTTATGCCAACACTTAAGAGATTTTAAGGTCTTGCAGTCTATGGTTTTAGCATATTCTGATGCATATTAAAAAAATTCCTTACTTTTAGGCTTCCCTTAAATCTCGTACGTCTCATTTGAAAGTCTCTTGAACACTAAGAATGGCCCTTCCCAAACAAAACTCTAGCTTTGGGGAATTCTTTGTTTTGTTGAGCAGTCAGTCAAAGTGGTTTCCTCTGGGTTTATGGCCTAATGTGTAGCATTTATGACTTCCAATCAAGGGACGAGGGCTTCGAAAAGAGCGATGAGCATATGTTGTGACCTTAGGCAAGTCACTTTTACCCATTTGCTTGTTTATACCTAAGACAACATCATTAAATAAATTACTCGGGAGAAGGGAACGGAATAAAGTTTCTACGGGTGGTAGACTCCTGAGAAAAATGCCTAAGCTTACATCAATATTTTGGCACAATGACCTTTGCAGCTTTGGCTCCTGTACTTAGGTAACTGCGTCTGCCTGTTCGCCCTGGGTCAGCATTTTGTCAGCAACTCAACCACCTGGTCTATTTTCCTTGACCGAGGACCTGTATTTTCCTCTAGCTTCTTAAGACGACATTTATTCTCAAAGTCGACAATCCTTGCAAATTTTGTAGGCATTCTTTAGGCGCTCCACTCAATCTCAAGTTTCTCAAAATATTTGGTCTCTAAATTGGCCTATATCTCTTTATCCGAGTCATGTGTTTTCGCAACCTGACTAATTACTGTATCTACAAAGTGGTTTGCCCCACGGCCCTCTTGTGCCTTTTCTAGGGGTTTCAGGGTTACAGTAGGCCTTCACGTCAAACCACGGACTGCCTGGCCTAACTCCTATAGAAGTAGGTTTCTGTGGTACATAATTACTGCCTGTTTGGCAACATTACCGTAAAATATTCGGTTGATCTTCCCTCACACGCCTGTACCAGTTGAACGTGCACAAACTTATCTAAGTGTATTAAAGTAGAGACAAATAGCTATCAAGAATTTAACTGACTGATCCTCACGCCCAGGCGTAATCATATGAAGATTACCAAAAATGAGGTTTTTTTCAGAAACGTCACCCAGCAACCACGACCTCATATGAGTGGCCAAGGGTCTTCTCTGAGCAAGTCTATCTCACTTAACAATGTAAATCGATTTCTCTGCATGGCAGTGCAAAACTGAGCAACCTCATTCCTAATCAAAATCAACGTCACTGTTCACAATGGGGTTTGTTCAAGGACTTGGTAACCGAGTTAACCTCTCGAGAGATGTACTTCTCGGATGCTTACTCTATCTCTGAACCAACTAAGGTGAGGTATCAACATTGGGACGTTCCTGTACGAGGTGCATTTTGAGACTTTGTCAGGAGAGATATTTATGTATTTCAAAAAGTGTGAAACTCTAGTCTCCTTTAAAGTAGGATCCTCCAGCTTCAATGCACTTGCATCACTCCAACAACTTCCTGAAGGCTCCCTGGAAGTCATCAAAAGTGAAGGTGTCTAGAATCCTTGTCACAGGCTCTTTCATCTCTTCAATTCCTTCATAACGATTGCCCCTGAGGCTCTCCTTCAGCTTTGGAACTAAACAAAAGTCACATGGAGCAAGGTCTGGGCTGAAGGGAGGGTGTGGGGCAGTTTTGATACCCATCTTGGTCAGACAGCTGGTCACCATGATGGCATTATGGACAGGCGCATTGTCTTGGTGCAGGTGCCATTGCCCAGACTGGAAGAGTTCTGTACTCTTTCGACGAAATCTGGAGCCTTGTGCATGTTCAGATCTTCACAAATAATTCTGTGTACAGTTGCTACACCAACTTCAAACTGTATAGTCGTCTCTATAGGTACACGACGATCCTCATCCAGGAAATTGCGAACTTTTTCCACCAGGTCCGGCGTTCTGATGGCCCTCTCTCTTCCGGACCTCTCATCATCCCTCACTGCCTCCCTGTCGTCATTGAACCTTTTGTGCCACCGGAATACAGATGCTCAGCTCACACGGGCTTGTCCATAAGCAGTCTGGAGCATTTCAAAGGTTTCTATGGCAGCTTTTCCCAATTTGACAGGAAAAGTAATGGCATAACGAGCTTCCAAATTGCCCTTACGTCTAGATTGCATTTTGAACCTTTTAAAATAGCTGTAACAAGGGGCATGTAGAGGGGTATATTCAATGGGCTATTCCATTCGTCTCCTTCTACCTGGAATAAAATTGGCACGTGAGCTCATAAGAGGTATAGTTAAAATATATTATGATTACAAGAATACAGGACAAGTATGGACGTAGGTGCCTCTCCTGACAAAGTGTCAAAACGTCTGGAATGCACCTCGTATCTTTTATGAGACATACTTTGAGGTGTCCGCCAGCGATCTTCGAATCGATTTGAACAAGAGGGATCCGTGCCCGTTGGAACGCACTCATACTACCTGTCTGAGAACTTTATTTGAAAGCCCGCAACTAAAAGGAAAAACGACCCCGCTCCTGCTGCAAGAAATGAATCTCCATTCTAGAGCGACTCGCTCCAAACGGGCAGAGGCCTTGTCAACGTCAACATTTGAGGGTGCATAGAGCTTTCGTTACACGCACAGGCACCGATATTTACTCTTTGCAAGGAGCCTCAGCGCTGAAAAAATCACTACATGTACTTGAATTGCCACTGGCCATCTGGTAGTAGTGGTATCGGCTTAAAATGGAGGCAGTGGATTTCACCGTCTAATACTTTCCAACTTTACCTAGCTAGCTATGATACGTTGGACCGACGTCGGCAATCGTTGGAGCCGTCGAAGTAGTACTTCCGGCGTTACTGTTAGTAAACGGTCAAAATTTTGACTTGAGTCTAGCAACGTTCAGTCGACATTAGTGATTGGTTTATATATTTGACGTCGAGTTACCGACGTTGCGCCGATATTAACGTATAGTATGCATTTGGACGTCGGCCTGGAGCGTTCAGTCGACGTTGGCGATTGGTTTATGTATTTGACGTCACGTTGCCGACGTTGCACCGACGTTAATTGCATATAGTATGCCTTTTGATGTCGGCATGCCAACCGTGTCAGTTTGTGAAAAAGAAAGCAGTCTTGCGTTATTTCCAATGTGCGCGCACTACCAGGTGTTTATAATAGGTCGTGAAACTGAAGTTGTTGATAACGCAGTTTTCATGAACTGACACCCGGTAGTGCGTGCTCACATCGGGCGCTGACGCGAAATAGACTGGTACCAGTATTTGTTTCACAAACTGACACCCAAGCTTGTTGCAGCAATACAGCGAGGAGAAAAATGCTTTGAAGGGTTTGACATGAATGTAATATATCTGTATACTTGTTACCTTACCCAAAAAAATTAATTGAAAGTCGTTATAACTGGTGAAATTATGATTGGAATCAGTTCTTGAAAATGAAAATGCACGGAGTGCGCGCTAGAGCTGCCGCACTGTATCGGGTACCAGTACATAAACACGAATTTAACTCTGTTTTCTAAAATGCCTGCGAATGAGCACACTTCGCGCATGACCAAGTGTCAGATCTTGGTGTCGGTGACGAATCATCAATCCGTACTTTGCGTGTCGCTTAAAGGGTAGCAGCAACTTTTCTTTGAGGATAAATGTATTGAGAAGTGCACTTTTCAACCATTCAGAATTGTCTATGTTCTCCTAGCCAATTGAGATCTCTGTTGCAGTCATCTAGAGAAGACATCACTCTAAAAAGAGTGATTAGCTTTTAAACACTATTTTGCTCTTACTTTACAAACATGTTTGCATGCTAAACATTTAGTGTTCAAGTCCTTAGCATCAACGTCCAGTGGCTACATACAATCCCTTACAAATCCAACGCGCTTAGCATTCGAACACGTTTTAAAAACTAATACCAAAAATAAAGTTTAGAAAAGTGTTCACTGGCTTAACACAGTTTTTGCAGCAGGTCTGAGCATAGATTTCTCCGTTCAAATTGTGAAGCAAGAATTTATTCTCTAAAAATATGGGGTTGGTCACAGGTTTATTGCGTCGTAGTTGTACAACAATGAATCGCCGAAGCAAAGAAATTTTAAGCCAGCATTTTTGATGCACCAACCAATGTAATATTGAGGTTTTCTTCTCAGGATGACATCACAGTTTTGCTGAATATGAAAATACTCATTAACAGAACTACAAAAATGCAGCAAAGTAACCTCCAAAATATTGAAACAAAATTTCAACCGAGGTTAATCGAAACCAAACGGTGCATTTTGAAGGTTCGCATCTTAAAAATACATTGCAGTGACAAGAATCAGCAAGTCCGTATGCAATCTGTGATGTGTATTTTCACCCAAGACCTTGTGGATCAAGTCGATAATGACCCTTGAGGCCCCACAGGAAATCACAGCGCTGCAGCCACTGAACTCAATGGGCAAACAAGTATAATGACTGCTTATGGACGGCAAGCAACCCACCCAATAATTGAAGATCAACCAGTTCCCTTTCAGAGTTGTACCTGTTCAATAATGTTTCCACACTAATCCCGACCCAGTTTCTCCAACTCAGCTGTGACTACGACTTCATCTACGGTCGACGGCTTTCGCAAAGCCCAACACTCATCCTGGCAACTTTTGATCGTTGCCAATCAATGCCAACTGCATTCGCAACACATACTACACCCCTGAGCCTCAATCGCGCAGATTCTTTACAAACGTGACTTTTTCTGCAATTATGAACAGGTTTTTAGTGTCATTTTTTATGCACAAACACAAAAACTTTCACGAAGAGAAACTATTTCGTTTACGTTCGGAAGAACAGTAATATCCAGCCCTGTACATAAACTAAATAGTTTATTGCACCTAAGGGTAGAAAGCGTGAAGAAAGAAATTATGTGATGTCATTTCAAGGCCTTAGTAAAAAAAACAACTGACGGAAAAACGCTCTCCCAAACTCCCCTAAAAGTTATTCTACAATTCAATGGCTGTGTCAACAACTAGGGTGCTTGACCTGCTGTATTTTTAGCGATTGCTCTGAAAGATTAGCTGAAATCGTAAACCCTGACGAAGAGAGAGAGAGATTCTTGTAGAACTAATGAATACATTCAGTAGAGAATGTGCCCAGGGCCAATGTGATTTTAGGGTCCCACAAGAAATTCAGGGACCTTCAACAACCGCTTTGCTGTAAATCACGTGATTCACTCCTGAAAATACGAACACAAAGATGCGTTATAGCGTCTTTCTTTGATTTTGTTTACTTTAGGGGGAGATTTAAACCAACAAGCCACCAATATAGCTCAGCAAAGTTTAGCATCAAGCTAAAAAAAAACAACAAAAAACAAACAAACATGGCTCCAATGCTTAAACTACAAGTGGTACTGTGGCATTGGAAGTGGTGCTTACGCCGGAGAAAAGGTCAATTGAATACATACCTGTGATTTAGACGAATGCAGCCCTGCATAAGGTCCGGTGACAGTGGCTGTCAAAATGGCTATCGTTGGAGTGGAAATCCAATTGACATTAAAATCTCAGAGGAGGGTAATATTTATGCCAATTTTCTGTAGTAGATGTTTTCTTTTTCAAAATTCAAGAAGACCAGATATTTTCAAATGGCCAGGTCATTGGAAGACTCTGGCGCACAATAACTCCCACTGACCTACAATTGCAGGAATATGACTTCCTATGCCATGAAGCAATTGCTTCACGACACATATCTTTACATGAGTTTTAAAAAGCGGTGCATGCAAGAGAAAGAGGGGAAAGAGCATGACCACTCCAACACGATAAGAATAGCACTGATAACACAAAGTCATGTTTACAATAAAGACATTTCTAGATTTTGTTTGTTTTCTATGACTGATAATACAAGGTACCTGTTACAACATGGTAATTTGTAAAGTCCAAAGGACCTTATTTTGACAGTGTTCCACTGTACTTACCTACAGAAACGCTTTAGATGAAAGAAAAGTTTATATTAAAACATGCTGATGAGTGATTTGAACATTTGAAGTACAATGATGATTTCTGCCCATATATGGTGCTACAGTGAATAGGCTGAAAATGTGGAAATAACAGATAAATTTAACGAAACATTAAGCAGGACAGAGTGACGCGATAGAGTCTAACATGACAAGCTCTATTTATACTCAAACTCCTGAAAGAATAGGCACACCAACAAAGCAGTTTAATTGTGTGTATGTGTCTCTCGCCACAGCTTCAATTTTAACCAACGTTTAGCTGTTCATCCGGAATACCAATACCACAGATTTAGGGCAAACCGGATTAAGAAGTCAAGCAATCTCAACAAAGATCACTATAGGCGGTACCCATGACCACCAACATCATATGCAGCAAGGTATGAGACGGAGAGAACCCCCCCTGCTTTGTGTTGGTCATTGTCTCGCAGGAATCATGGGAATTCCTTTCAGACATCTTGTGGGGGGGGGGGGTTTAAGTAACAATAGTCTGGAATGTGTATAGGGATTGGACATGTTGGGGGGGGGGTACCCTTCGGTCTCATTTCTTGCTGGGTATAACCAACATATCAACAGTGGTTGTGATACCCAAGACCACAACTCAGATATAGTGATACCCAGTGACCACTATTCACCAACACACCAACGGCTGATGTGTAATCATCTTAGAGCAAACAATCAAAATGCAACAGAACTATTAAGGTGCACAGCACATGCAACCTGTTAGGAACCCGTCTAAAATAATGAAGCTGTACAAAATCACATGGCAATTGTGGTAAATTCTAGTTCCCTCCACTGGCACCTGTAGAGGGGAATAGCCCGTGTGGTACATCGCTGGCCATGAATCTACGGCAAAATACATGGACTATATTCAATAAACCTGAATCTGCCCGTGTGGCCAAGGCATCGAGGAGGAATGGCAGGGGAGGAAGCGGGAAAATAATGCAACAGTTCAACGTTGATGTTTCTTGATTGAAGCTGTGACAAAAAATGAGGCAACCCGAGCTGTCTGCATCGCTTGGTTGCTATTTCCAGCTATGACCAGAGACTCTTGCTTTGATTGGCTGCCGGAGGATCCTCCCTCGGCCTCGACTGATGTTTTTTACAAGTTTGATTACTCCTACCACGTCAGCAATGCCTGTAAGGCCTAAAATTTGGCGTGCGACACATCCATGATGCTTCCCATATGTATACAGTACCTCAACCGCATGATAGTGCCACACGCACCGCGAACAGCGCGCGGCTACTCTGTGCCGATCCTGCAGGTTCACCCTTCGGGTCACTCCCCACTGACCTATCCGTTGAGTATAAGAAATTTTACCTGCTATGCGGTAAAATGTGTTAGATGACCGGCTAGACGGTAATAACACGGTGCATTGGAAGTTGGTATCAAAATTGAGCGAGCATAATGGGAACCTACCTCAATCGAGGGACTAAATTATAGTACAATCGACTCTCGTTATTACAAAATCCGCAGGACTAAGTAGAAACGTTGGTTGTGTATCCGAAATTCGTTGCAGGCGGAAAGCAGTGCAGCGGCTTCGCTGCATTGCATGAATATAATAGGTCCAATGCGTACAATGCCATGTACAGAGTGTCCACAAAAAGGGTATACCGACATAAAAATGCCCTCTTTGCAATGGTATACAGCTTGTGATGACACAGATGAGTGAACAAACTAGACCGATGTTAAGGGTACTGAAATCGACACTCTGACAAGTTTGCATTGTGATTAACACGGCTTGACCATGCAAGTACCTTCCAATGTCAAAATTGCTAAATGCACATGTATTTAATAAAAAAGGATTTGTGTCTCCTTTCTCCCTTCACTCTACATCTATTTTTATTCATAACGTAAATGTTTTCTTAAAGTTAAGCTCCTCGTTGAAACTTGAGGGGGAAGTAAAAATGAAAGGTTACTTACATTACAGCTTTGTCTGCCTTGCATATCTCCCCAACGCAAAAAAATACATCTTGAAAATAGTTCGCGATACCCGCTGCTTCACCTGACTCGGACCGGCCAGCCGACCCCGGCAAGCTCGGGTCGTTGAGTGGTTAAGACGTCTGCACTGCTAAGCAGGAGGTCGTA